ACCCCGATAGGACATCAATTTCTCCTCTGGAGTCCCTATGACACTCATAAAATTTAGTGGTTTGCACCCTGGTGTGCTTTTCGTGTATAAAATAAATCTTTTTGCTGAATAGTCAAAAAGTGAACATCCGTTTTCAACGGAAGTAATTGCAATGTAAATAATTATGTCAAACTAGACATGCAGACGATTTAAGCATGCAACAAAGGATTATTTAACAAATTTAATCAGTGAAACGTTACAGATATGGTGGACATAGGATATCATCGTTATTTTGTCAAAAACCATGCTAAGAATATTCTGGAAACAGAAGGATCAGATTTCACAGATCATAACCGTGTAAATGGGTTAGTGTTTTGTTTCCTAAATAAAACCTAGCTTATTGTATGTTTATGATTTGTAGATATCATCACTTGCTTAAAGAATAAAAGAAAAGGAAAACTTCTCAAGTAGGCCTACAGTAAAGTACACTTAAAACTTAAAAGGTAAGGACAGTTTAGTTATTGTTACTCTTTGTTTATTTTTGTTACTGTTAGATTTAGTTGACAATTTCAGATAATCTCAGTATTTTTGTTCGGGGTAATAAAATAAATAACACATGGGTTTGTGAGTAACAGTAAAAATATCATCCCTCGTAAAAATACTGTTACCCTCGGCTACGCCTCGGGTAACAGTATTTTCCTTGGGATGGTATTTTTACTGTTACCCACAAACCCATGTGTTATTTATATAATAACACACACTTTCGGATTTTCTATGTTCAATAGGGAAAAATGCGGGTCCTGTTAGAATTGTATATACCATACCTGATTTAACCTTTTCTATTCTATATAACATACCCGATTTAGCCTTTTAATATTCTATATAACATACCTGATTTACCCTTTTTATATTCCATATAACTTACCTGATCTAGCCTTTTTACCATTCTATATAACATACCTGATTTAGTCTTTTTCTATTCTATATAACATACCTGATTAAGCCTTTTCAGATTCTATAAAACATTCCTGATTAAATCTTTTTATATTCCAAATAACATACCTGATTTAGCCTTTCCATATTCCAAATAATATACATGATTTAGCCATTTCAAATTAAGAAATAATATGTGCCAAACAGTGATTTTACTGCTCAATAACATCACTGTTTGGAGTTCAGATGCTGGGAAATATATCACGAGTGCGTAGCCGGATTGATATAATAATGCACATCCGAACGACAACAGTGATGTTATCAAGCAATAAAATCACGGATTTGGATATATTATTATTTCGATTCTAACATGACATCAACAAATAAATGTTGCCGTACATGATAATTAGCTAAATTGCGCCTTTGTTTCCGTACTTATTGTCAGCGCGTCACATGTCTAAATATAGAGCGTCAAACAGTATTTTTATTGCATAATAACACACACTTACGGTTTTTCTATGTTCAATAGGGAAAAATACGGGTCCTGTTAGAATTCTATATAACCTTTTAATATTCTATATAACATACCTGATTTAGCCTTTTAATATTCTATATAACATACCTGATTTAGCCTTTTAATATTCTATATAACATACCTGATTTAGCCTTTTAATATTCTATATAACATACCCAATTTTACCCTTTTATATTCCATATAACATACCTGATTTAGCATTTTCATATTTTAACTGTTTTTGTTTAGGAGACTCTTCTACCTTGCGTCTTTTTATCTCCTATAATATAAATAATAATACAAACAATTATGTTTTATTCAGTAATTTTCAAAAATGTTTATTGTATGAAGTAATATTTGTATTTTAAGTCCATTTGATTACCATACAGTGTCCAAATAAACAGTAGAACTTCTACATGGCAAACTTCTATAAGTTGATTTTCTTGTTCTGTCGAAGCAAAATGAATGTGCATATTGTTTCCCCATTATTCTTTATAGACTATAAAACTCCACGAGTCGGATGCCTTGCCTTGTCAACAGTCAACAGCATAGCTGTTAGTAAGGGCATTTTCTTCTTAAATATAGGCTATTTTTATCACTACTCTTGCAATGTACACGTACCTTTAACTTTATTGGCATTCAAATTGATTGTAACCATGTTATATGAGGATAAATTAAATTTTTATATTATCAAATATACAAATACCATGGAAAAGTTTTTCACTGACAGATCAAATGAAGGAATCTGTGATGGATTCTTAGGCAATGCACTTCAGGCCAATTAAAAAAAGCTTACATACCAAATTTTGAGTCAATCAAACTTATAGTTATGCTCTGGACAAGATAAAGTAAACAAGAGGGCCATGATGGCCCTGAAGTCCCTCACCTGTATATAGGCCCCCGTAGTGGGGCCAGTTTAAACCCCAGGGCTTTTATTTGAACAAACGTGGTAGACACCCATTAGAAGATGTTTCATGCTAAACATCTAAGGTCTAGCTGGTCAAGTTTTTTCTTTACACATATAGTTAAAAACAATGACACACCTGGGGCAGGGCCAATTTGGACCCAAGGGCTTTTATTTGAAAAATCTTTGTAGACACTTACTAGAAAATGTTTCATGCTTAATATCTGAACTCTAGCTATCCGGATTTTTCGAGGAAGATTTTTAAGTTTTTGCTATACACATATAAGGCAAATCAATGACCCCGGGGGTGGGGCCAATTTTGACCCCAGGTCTTTTATTTGAACAAACTTTTTAGACACTTACTAGAAGATGTTTCATGCTTAATATCTAAATTCTAGCTATTTGGGTTTTTTCAAAGAAGATTTTTAAGTTTTTGCTATACACATATAAGGAAACTCAATGTCCCCTGGGGCGGGGCCAATTTTGACCCCAGGGCTTTTATTTGAACAAACTTTTTAGACACTTACTAGAAGATGTTTCATGCTTAATATCTAAATTCTAGCTATTTGGGTTTTTTCAAAGAAGATTTTTAAGTTTTTGCTATACACATATAAGGAAACTCAATGTCCCCTGGGGCGGGGCCAATTTTGACCCCAGGGCTTTTATTTGAACAAACTTTGTAGACACTTACTAGAAGATGTTTCATGCTTAATATCTAAACTCTAGCTATTTGAGTTGTATCAAAGAAGATATTTTAAGTTTTTGCTATACACATATAAGGAAAATTAAAGACCCCCGTGGCGGGGCCAATTTTGACCTCAGGGCTTTTATTTGAACAAAATTGGTGGACACCGATTAGAACATGTTTCATGCTAAATATCTTAGCTCTAGCTCTTTGGGTTCTTTAAAAGAAGATTTTTAAGTTTTTACTATATGCATATAGGGAAAATCAATGACCCCCTGGGGCGGGGCCAATTTTGACCCCAGGGCTTTTATTTGAACAAAATTGGTGGACACCCATTAGAAGATATTTAATGCTAAATATCTTAGGTCTAGCCCTTTGGGTTCTTTAAAAGAAGATATTTAAAGTTTTTTTCTATCGGCAACCAGAGTTCTGCTTGGAATTAAATTATTTGAGCAATTTCTAAAGTTGACATCCAAAGGAACATATCTGTGAAGTTTGGATGAAATGGGCTTAGTGGATTATGAGGAGATGTCATTTAAAGTAAAAGTTTATGGACCAACGGACGATGGGCAGATGCCGGACGAAAAGCGATCACAAAAGCTCACCATGTCACTTTGTGACAGGTAAACTAAAAACTTAACCGAGATAGTGACAAGCTTAATATAATAGTTAAGCTTAAAAGATGGGTACAACTGCCATCATGAAATTACAAAGCTTGCTAACCTTATTGTGTGCCTTGACAAGCTAACAATACTGGTTTATCATACAACCATTATTTATAACATGTACTGATAATATATCAATCAGAAACAAACAGTAATACATAAACCAGTAAATCAACCAGAAACAAACAGTAGTTTATCAACCGGAAACAAACAGTTATACATGTACCAGTATATCAACCAGAAACAAACAGTAATACATGTACCAGTATATCAACCAGAAACAAACAGTTATACATGTACCAGTATATTAACCAGAAACAAACAGTTATACATGTACCAGTATATCAACCAGAAACAAACAGTTATACATGTACCAGTATATTAACCAGAAACAAACAGTTATACATGTACCAGTATATTAACCAGAAACAAACAGTTATACATGTACCAGTATATTTACCAGAAACAAACAGTTATACATGTACCAGTATATTAACCAGAAACAAACAGTAACACATGTACCGGTATATCAACCAGAAACAAACAGTTATACATGTACCGGTATATTAACCAGAAACAAACAGTTATACATGTACCAGTATATTAACCAGAAACAAACAGTAACACATGTACCGGTATATCAACCAGAAACAAACAGTTATACATGTACCAGTATATCAACCAGAAACAAACAGTTATACATGTACCAGTATATCAACCAGAAACAAACAGTTATACATGTACGGTACCAGTATATCAACAAGAAACAAACAGTTATACATGTACCGGTATATCAACCAGAAACAAACAGTAATACATGTACCAGTATATTAACCAGAAACAAACAGTTATACATGTACCAGTATATCAACCACAAACAAACAGTTATACATTGTACCAGTATATTAACCAGAAACAAACAGTTATACATGTACCAGTATATTAACTAGAAACAAACAGTTATGCAAATACCAGTATATCAACCAGGAAAAAGCAAAAGAAACACATTCTACCTCTTTTTGTTCTGTCTGAGGAACAGTAAATTTTCTTTTTGATTCTGTATGTTTTTTCTCAGCTTCCTGTGGACCTACAAATTTCAAAACACAAATATATAAGACTGTAGTTTCTTTTTAATAAAAGGGAAAATAACTTTATGTACTTAAAATTAAAATGTACTTTAATGAAAAAGGATAATTTTTAAATATAATATCAACTTATAAATCATGATTTTCTTGGAGAATCTCCACGATAATACCTTTACCCTCTCTAAAACTCTGCGATTGTGCATGGTCATGGGTGTTTCTCCGCGATTACTCTCAGAAAAACGAGGGGGATTAATGAGTTTGCTTAAACGTTGATTGCGGAGGAAGCACAAAAATTTGTACATTACACTCGAGCTGAACTGTAAATGACAAAGTTATATATACAAATATAATCAAAATTCAATCATTTAATGGTCAATGTCATTTAAACGTCAATGACATATCTTAATTATTATACATGTCTGTTTGGTCACAAGTGTTGTTTATTCAACGTGTGATTCAAATCCTAAAGTTTGTTTTGTCTAAGTATGAAAATAATCCATTGATTAAAAACCAAGTTACAAGTACAACGAATCATACAAATCATCAGTAAAAATTAAATACTTTGATCATCAAGGTCAGGGTCATACATGCGTCAAGGTCAATTTGAGTTTGATATACATTCAGGTCCTGGCTTTTATGATATTGTGACCTAATATGATGTTCATTTATCAATAACGGAATTACAAGATTTAAGATCAAGGTCACATCTAAATCATTCCTTACGTTTAATTGGTAGCAAGTCTTGTTTTGTCCAAGTTTGAATCAAACCCTAAATAACTCAAATAACAAAATTATGATAATTTAAACCAAAATTCAATAATTTGACTTGGACGGTCAAGGTCATTTAAAGTTCAAGATCTTGATCAGTTCAATCCTTTAGAAGGTCCTGTTTATTTTTTTTAAAATACGCAGATAATAAATTTATTAATTGACCATCAAGGTCATAAAAGAGCCAAGGTAAATTTGAGTTTAATAGTTATAAATGTCTTATCTTTAAGAATGTTCTGTTTTAATATGATGTCGATCGAGTCGTTTTTAACAAATTAAAAGCCAACTACAGAAATTTTTTTTATTATTCTAACACGCTTCGTACTATTTTCCTTTCAAACAGATAGGACAATCAAGTATATTATTTAAAGGTTAATACTTGGTTGCTGCTCGCCATTATGCGATAATGGCCCTCGAGTACATAATGTCCTTCGGGCCGCATAATGGCGAGCAGCAACCAAGTATTAACGTCTTTAATACCTATGTCCGAAATACAACGTTTAGACATTGCCGCTAATCTTGGTTGTCACCTTTTCTATGTCGATGTGAACAAATGTCTATCATACTGTACAGTTTGACACTCCGATTAACTTAGAAAACAAGACAACACAAAATAAATATAAGAAAATCGATGCCTTGGTGCGAAAGGGTTGTAACTCATAATTTTACCGAAAATGGTTTTATGGTATTTTTCAATGTAGGAGCAATATACACACATGTTGTAAAAATATTGAACTTGAAAGCTAAAATTAAACTACCAAAAAAGTATATATGTCCAAAGGTTGTAACTCAAACAGACATATTTTGTTGGTGCGAAATGGTTGTAACTGAAGTTACAACCGTTTCGCACCAACATTTTGATGATATTTTGAATAAATCCTAGTGCAAAACAGTTGTATCTCAATATCTTATATCATATTCTGTGAAATATTTAGTGGATTATTTCTTTCAAACTTACTGACAAGTTTATAAAACAGTCTCAGCTTCTGATTCCTTGTTATTTACATTATAAAATGGTAAGCTTTCATTTAGACATAATACAAGAATTTGAATAACTTACACATATTTCAAACATAAATCAATTCCAATGCTTGTTAAAGAAACAATATCATAGTACATTGCTTTATTTGACTAACAGTACTGTTATAGTGATTTTTTTTTCAACATAAAAATTGTCATTGGTATAATGTTGCATTGTTTGCAAAATAGCAAGAAAAAATAATGGACTCATTTTGGTTTTACGAAAATGAAATTACTGTAACACAAAATAAATTTATTATAAATAATTGTCATACAATATATTATGATTGTATCATAGTTTGGAGACTTTTGAAAACACGTCAGAGTTAAATTGCAAACCAATACATGCACATTGCTATAACTCACTGTCAGTCTGGAGCTTGCTTGTTAACTGGTTCATTTTTTCTGGTTATTTGTTTGGGTCGTTAGACCAAACAAAAAATGGTAGCGAAATTTCAGACTCTAATGCTGTTAATTGCAAATGCCGAAAGTAGTCCGCTTTTTTGAAGCGGTTACTTCCCTTTATATGTAACACCAAGGCCGAAAAATTCAGGGGAGATCACTGCGTAAATATGGTCACATGAAAGGTACATTAATTTTCAAGCAAAATAATTTCCGAATGGTCGAAGATTTCTAATATTGTTTTATTCTTTATAGATATACATGCTTATAGTAAGCGCCATGATTATTTACACAAGTGTTAAACAACAGTTAGCGTCGTTACAACCCTAATTTAGAATAAAACATAAATTCACCGTGGCGAGGGGTTTGCGCGCTCGCTTAGGAAACGAGAGGTCTGGAGTTCAAATCCCATTTAAGGCAACTCATTTTTTTTTTCAAATTGTTTAAGTCAAATAAACATTGGATTGAATATCAATGTTGCAATCTACTACAATTAAAGCGCTGGAAAGCATTGGGCACTATACAAAAACAAATTGTTTTATAATCTCACAACCTTCAACTTTATGACCCAAACAAATTCAGCGCCTTCTGTGCTTTGATTTTTACATATTGTGATGACAGGGAAGGAGATAACAGTAGAAAATTCATATTCAGATGCTTATACATTTGGTACTTTTTTCTTGGATGACTGGGAATGTGTTTTTTTTTTTGCCTAAGATACAAGAGAGAAAGAACATCAAAACAATCGGCAATCTGATTTATACTCTCATACAAATCCAACAGCCTCGTGTTTCGATGCTTTTTTAAATACTAAATATTAAAATAACTTAAAGAAATTATCTCTTTATGCTGACAAAATAAAATAACCTTTCCAATCAATTATATATCAGTAAATGAATGAAAGCCAAAAACCAAAATTAAAGAAGTATTTATTAGAACGTAAAAGAATAAATAAGTTTTTTGTCTCTCCTGAATAATTTCAAAATATTGAGTTACAACCCTTTCGCACCAAGGCATCGAAATGTTGTTATATTGTTATTTCTATCAATAATACAGAACCCTACTCTTCACATTTTTTGTGAGAATTACATTTAGATCTAGTGCTAGTTTTTTTATGAAGTTTAAAAAATTGTGCCATCAAAAATGGTTTCTGAGACTGTCTAGGCTCTGACCTTTTCGTACAGTCAATCTAAAATCATATTTGGAATTTCTGAGGTCTATTTTCTTGAGTTTATAAATCTTCAATGATAAGCTTGCTGATTGTGATTAATTATGTCATTTAAACTTTAAAAAAAAATGTGTACAAGTGACTACAGTTCATTCAACGTCAGCAGTCATCTTGAAAGTTGATGACGTCATTCTGCACGTGCGCTCATTCACTCGCCCATTATGGAAAAATAATGCCGAGTAGCAAGGCGGCCAAAATTGCATAATGACCTAGATCTTGCCATAATAACCCTGAAATACACTAGATTTTGTTACTATATATAGTAACATAGGTATTTAAACGCAATACATATACACAAAAATAGGTTATGTGATGTCATATATGACGTCAATGATCTAAATGACGTCAGTGACAATATCATTACCCTCAATATAATTTTTGCATATTCTTATAAATTCCTTTAAAATTAATGTATTAGAATGGAAATATATGTTATTTGTTTTATATTATAATATCATAATGCATGGATTATTGTTCAAATGCTTTGTAATAAATCACTCCGGAGTATCGGTCTTTGTGATTATGCTCCTGCGCATTTGAATGCTAACCATGCATAACTCTTTAAAAATGCACTCAAAATTGATATCTCCATGTATTAAATTCCAAACTGAATAAAAACATTATGATAAACCGTTCTAAAGTAATACTTCAGTTAATGAATACAAGTACTAGTAATTTAGAAGATCCTCTCTTGAACAAAATTATAGATCAAAAATATATACCCTAGTAGTAATCTTTAAAATATCATTCATATCTTTAACTGTTATTATAATCATTAAGTAACTGGTTCAAAAGGGTGACGTAGTATGCAATTGCATTATAATATCTACATGTATACATGTACATCAAATAAAAAGGTTTTTTTTTTCTTTCAGATAAACTTGAATTTCTATTGTACATACCTGTATATCTATGTTGAGATCGAACTTTTTCCATTTTCTTTTCATATTTTTCTATTGTATCTACATAAATATCATTTCCACTGTCTCGACATATCTGTTTCAATTTTTCATAATTTTCTCCTGGTGTAATGATGTTTCTGGTGCATAAAGTTTCAAATATATCTAGACTTGATTTATTGGCAATTAATCCTCGAGGCACATAAGTTCCGAAATGAAAAATTAAATTCTTATACTCTATGCTGTTTTCATCTAAATTATCGTTAATTTCAGAGATAAGTTTAATGTGAAGTCTGCGTAGTTCTGTTTGTTCCTCAGAGGAATTGTGATAGGAAGATGCCATGTTATCACTGATGAAGTCTGCGTAGTTCTGTTTGTTCCTCCGAGGAATTGTCATAGGAAGATGCCATGTTATCACTGTTTAAGAATAACCTGAGGACAAAGGTTGATATATTAATATACAAAAATAAAATACATGTATGAAATAATTTCCAGATGAAAAAAATGCATATAGAATTTGTGTAACTTGTAACATATTTTTTATGTAATATTTTTTATGTAACGTTATTGATCACATATACATGTAATTGCATTTATAATCTCAATTCAATTAATGGGGCTTGAAACCTGGAAAAGATATAAAGCTTTAAACTTAATTTATTTTATTTTTAATTGCACAAAAATAAAAAAGTAATAATGATTATATGGTCAGCATTAAAATTTAAGTCATTTGTTAGTGTGTTTTTCAATAGTAACAAAAACATAGACACAGTAGCAAATTTTAAGAAACTGCCTCTTCATGTCCCTGCGATATCATCCAAATATATCACCTAGAGTGCGGGTAATAATTACTATGTATATGCCAATTTGTGTATTGTATATCATCCAAATATATCACCTACATTGCGGGTAATATCACTATGTATATGCCAATTTGTGTATTATATATCATCCAAATATATCACCTACAGTGCGGGTGATATCACTATGTATATGCCAATTTGTGTATTGTATATCATCCAAATATATCACCTACAGTGCGGGTAATATTACTATGTATATGCCAATTTGTGTATTGTATATCATCCAAATATATCACCTACAGTGCGGGTAATATTACTATGTATATGCCAATTTGTGTATTGTATATCATCCAAATATATCACCTACAGTGCGGGTGATATCACTATGTATATGCCAATTTGTGTATTGTATATCATCCAAATATATCACCTACAGTGCGAGTAATATTACTATGTATATGCCAATTTGTGTATTGTATATCATCCAAATATATCACCTACAGTGCGGGTAATATCACTATGTATATGCCAATTTGTGTATTGTATATCATCCAAATATATCACCTACAGTGCAGGTAATATTACTATGTATATGCCAATTTGTGTATTGTATATCATCCAAATATATAACCTACAGTGCTGGTAATATTACTATGTATATGCCAATTTGTGTATTGTATATCATCCAAATATATCACCTACAGTGCTGTAATATCACTATGTATATGCCAATTTGTGTATTGTATATCATCCAAATATATCACCTACAGTGCGGGTGATATAACTATGTATATGCCAATTTGTGTATTGTGTATCATCCAAATATATCACCTACAGTGCGGGTGATATCACTATGTATATGCCAATTTGTGTATTGTATATCATCCAAATATATAACCTACAGTGCTGGTAATATTACTATGTATATGCCAATTTGTGTATTGTATATCATACAAATATATCACCTACAGTGCGGGTAATATATCACTATGTATATGCCAATTTGTGTATTGTATATCATCCAAATATATAACCTACAGTGCTGGTAATATTACTATGTATATGCCAATTTGTGTATTGTATATCATACAAATATATCACCTACAGTGCGGGTAATATATCACTATGTATATGCCAATTTGTGTATTGTATATCATCCAAATATATCACCTACAGTGCGGGTAATATATCACTATGTATATGCCAATTTGTGTATTGTATATCATCCAAATATATCACCTACAGTGCGGGTGATATCACTATGTATATGCCAATTTGTGTATTGTATATCATCCAAATATATCACCTACAGTGCGGGTAAATATTACTATGTATATGCCAATTTGTGTATTGTATATCATCCAAATATATCACCTACAATGCGGGTGATATCACTATGTATATGCCAATTTGTGTATTGTATACCATCCAAATATATCACCTACAGTGCGGGTAATATCACTATGTTTATGCCAATTTGTGTATTGTATATCATCCAAATATATCACCTACAGTGTGGGTAATATTACTATGTTTATGCCAATTTGTGTATTGTATATCATCCAAATATATCACCTACAGTGCGGGTAATATTACTATGTATATGCCAATTTGTGTATTGTGTCTTACAAAATCACAGGGCGCTTTATTTTTATGGAATTGTTTGCCTTCTTGTCAAGCACCTCGTGATCCAGATCTAGTCCAAGCTTTATCGAAAAACTTTAAAAAGCACAGGACATTCGGGCCAGTTAAATTTTAAATCTTACCAGACCTGGTAATCTTTAGCTGGACAAAATATATAGAGAAGTAATAAATAGATGCGTAAAGGAAACCACTTAATCATGCTTCCCTTGATAATTTTGAAAGAAGCATATTACTTCTTGTGTTCTGGGCCATATATTGACAGCTTTGAACATTCTTTAAAGACCTTATTTTGTAGGCAGACGTGTCTTAGTTTACTATTTATAGATGAACAATGAATGTGGAAACGAATATGAACAACGCTTACTCATTTTTGATGTAAAGCTTCAGGAGTTCTTCCTCTCTACATTTTGAAAACAAATTTGTATTGTACGCAAAAGAAAACAAAATAAAAGCTTTTAGACATTATTTGGTTCTATAAAAGATATTTAAAATCATGAATGCATGATTTTTATATTCAATAAAACATTTATTTACATGTTTTATTTTTTTATTATAAATAACTTTAAATAAGTTAAAAACATACATAAAAAAGACTTTTAAATCAACAAGTCATATTTGGTACCTTTAATCCGGCACAATATTGCTTTTGTACAGAGCGTGCAAAATATGTTACTTAAAAAGTCATATTCGGTATCTTCTTTCCGTCAAGGATATGACTTTTATTTAGAACATGCAACGTTTATAACTTGTACTTTTTTCATTTACGGGCGTCATTATAACATGTTATTATTATAAAATATCGTATTAAGAAAAAAAGATCAGAAAATTAATAAAATATAAGTCTGATTCGGTGTCTTCCGTCCTTCACGGATATGACTTTTATATAAAACATTGTATCGACAAAAATTCATAAAAAATAATTACTTTCAGTGATTTTTCTCGCTTAATTGGGAAGAGGCCTAAGCCTTTTGATTTTGGGAAAAAATATCGCTAAAATTGCTGATTAAAAAAATATACCGGTAGGTCATATCCGGTATTCAAAGTCATATCCGCAGATCTGACTCATATCCGGTATTAATTCATACCCAATAGGGGGTAATATTTGGGCAGCACGAAATACCCAAATATTGCCCAAATATACCAAAATATTGCCTAAACATACCCAAATATTGCGCAATTATACTAAAAATAAATGTTTTATACTAAAAAAGTGTTGTTTTAATCATGAATACAATATACACTTTCACTAAGATATAATCAAACATACCCAAATATACATTTTCCTATCATTGCCATCGTCGGATACCCACGGCCGAACCATTAACATTTATCAGCCGTGGGACTTTTTGCCAATATTCAGTCGATAAGAGGTGTGTCAAAGGCAGCTATTTCATTGGCTGCCTCACGATTTCATGAGGCGATTAAAACAAATCAAAACGCTTGTTCTGTACGACGTTCGGTATTACAGACACTATTGCCACAACCATAGACAACGTTAAAAGTTCAACATTGAAAAATCAAACAATTTCCAGCAAGAAAGCATGGATAATTTACTTTTACAGCCTGATGTTTTCCTTTCTGATTGATATCTGCTTGCAGAAGAACTGATTTGGCGATAGTTTTTGCCATTGATTTTAACAAGACACGTACAACAGTTTTTAACCGTGGGCGCTGCCATTTTGTTTCTTATTGTTTTTTACCTCCGCTGTTGAAGAATATAGATTTGTTAAACGCGATGTCATTGGTAGATATTTTACGCACCTGTTGCTGTATATCAACGCAAATCGATTCATTTTACCCACTGTTGATTGCATGTTATGTAACATGTTTATCAATCGCGGGTATCCGACGATGTTTTCCTGAATGAGATCTATCATCCTAAGAAGTTTCAAGTCCATAGCTGAAATGGCCCAGACAAAAATAAAGTATGAAAATTAACAAAGGGCAATAACTCAAAAAAATAAGAAGTGCAGAGTACCAGTTCTTGTGCACTGCACTTCGGGTCATTGTTAGAAGCATGCATACCAAGTTTGAAGTCAATCCAACTTATAATGACTGACTTATGCTCCGGACAAGCTTAAGGGGACGCCGACACCGACACCACCGACAAAAGTAACCCCTATATGTCGCCTTTTTCAAGGCGACACAATAAACTTTGAATTTCCAAAATCGGATAATAAATGGAAAAGCTATAGCCTATATGGTATTTTGTTAAGTAGGTATCCGTTGCGAACGGTAATTTACACATAGCGCTGGTAAATTATCGATCGATGTACCTTTATAGGGTGGGCGACAAGATATTTCAGCATTTATATGTGTTAAATCCCTGTAATATAAATCCGTGACATTATCAATGTGGCCATACCACGTGACTTTTCGGGTACGGAACACTCTGATTTTTCTCCCGATTCAGGTAGGTTTTTTTATTTATAACTTATTTATTACTCAACCGATTTTGATCAAATAATGCGCAGAGTACCCTTAATTATATCAGCTACCCATGATATATCAAAATTCTAAAAACCCCTGAATGGTTTTTGAGAACATTTGAGTACAGTTTTCTTCTCATAGCCGGGGCCGAGAGGAACGGTACACACTCATTTGTCATACTCAGAAGCGATTTCTAGCAAGACATATGTTTTTTGTCACTATTTCATAGAAAAATACATGTTAAATCTGATATATTTACTATGTCACTCATAATGTTTACAATATCAGATGTGAATAACAAGTATTTTCTGTATCATATTGTTTAATAAAGAATTTCAATTATAGCAGCGTTACTGTCTTATTATTTAACAAACAATGGCATGTAATATCCCAACAATTGGTCAATTAGCACCTGCATAATATACGACTCGATGTGGTTATTAATAATATCCTAAAAAAATATTCTTAATCAATAAACTGCATTTAGTATAGGTTACAATTTATTCCTAGTTATTTACGGTCCGCCCTGTCCCAAAATATGGTCTGCCTTGTCCGTAATTCATTAATGCATACACATTGGGTTGTTTCCCTTATTATCGCGAGGAAGTTACTTTA